ATCTATATATAGGAATAACACAAAATCGATCAAGACACATCACTAGAACTATTAATCAGTAAAAACTCGTATATAAGACTCAAACACTACACTCGAACCAAGATGATTCGTATACACATGAAGAACTTACGGACCAAGAAAAGTGACAAAAAATCAACTTACTTTATTAGAGAATTTGAACAATCAGAAATGGAGAACTTGTCGCAATGATAATTCAAACGTTATCTGATAATTTTTTGGCAAGTATACCAAATCATTTTAAGTAATACAGTGAATAAGTAAAAGTATCGTCTCCCAAGGGACTTGTGCAACACATGACAATTCTTCCTTTTATAACTCAATTAGACATCAAAATGTACAAAACAACACATGAATCATATGAATGTAAAACTCTGTTCAATATTTTATTACTTCATTCAAACATTCACATCAAAGCATACTAGTCCTAATCGTTCCAAGCAACTAGTTCTAAATTAATATATTAAAACGATCATCCCTTAGTTAATAGTCAATTTAACATACAATTTGCATTAAGTCCGATGTTGAGAATGATCAAGTTATTGAGTCTATCCCTAGATCCCAATCACTTAAGTGCTCTATCTACGTTCATGTTCAAAGTTACTTTCCAGTAATCAAAGACATTCAAATAACATTATATTTTCATACAATAATAATAAATTCAAGAAAGAGCATATGAACGAACAACGATATATTGAGCATGAAAATTACATTACACTGAGTTCATTACATCCAATCCCAACGAAAGAGAAATTTAACTACTCCTAGTCATCTAAAACGTACACATTTGAAGCAATCCCTTGCAACAATGGTGTCTTGATGCCTTGAAGTAGTCTTCAGAAGTTCCTGAGATGTTTTCATTTCTTTCTTTTGTCTGGAACTTCTGTCAGAAGAACGTTTCTGTCTTTCTGTCGCGTCTTTTAAAGCCACTTAACTTCATTAATTCGCTCAGCGCACATGTACTGGTGCGCTATGCGAATTTTCTTAACGGCTACACTTTAACTAATATTATTCGCTCAGCGCATAGGTACTATTGCGCTATGCGAATTTCTGGTAGTGCGAGTTTTGGCTTTCGCTTTGCGAAAATTGGCTTTACATAACAATCTACTAACTATTACAACTTTTCAATGAGTAACAGCATGAATAATTACAAGATTGAGTTCATTTATAAGTATAAAAACAGCTCTTTTTCACACTTATCATTATCTGATGAATAAATATGAGAAAACCTATAAAGAAAAAAAGAATTCTAAAAAAGATTTTAAAAAGAAGGTGTATTTTTAAATAATGAAACTTGTTTATAAAAACTCTTTTTATATTTAAAAAAATTAATATTAAAATAATCTAATTCTATAATTTTAAACCTATTATCAATTCTAAAACATAATTTTTTAAGACTTTTTTTATTAATTATATAAAATTATTGTATAGATATGTATTATAGATTAGCCTATAGTATATATTAATTTGAAATGTTTGGACAGTGCGCATATCTCATACGTAAGTGTAAAAATTCTGTAATTTGAAATAAGCAGATGAGGTATTGATATGATTTACTGAAAATGCATTTATTTTGGCTAAATTATTATGAGTAAAGAAGTGTCCTATTTAGTACCTCTGGTGAGGGAGAGATGAACGTGTATGTAATAATGAAGTAGGTCATTGTGTACACAAACCCTTTGGCATGATATATACATTGAAATTGGCTTTGCCTTCAGCCTTATAATTTTGTCACCAACTCCATGTCCTACTCAAGATACTAAGTGACTCTTCAACTTTCTTCTTTCTCAACTTTCAGAGTCTCATATCTAGGATAAAGGCAATTTTCTAAAAGAGAGGCACAGTAACATTAAATATATATAATTAAATTATTTGTATTTTAAAGTTAAAACCATCACAAATAACTATATATATGTATGTATATCCATATTTAGTTTAGTTACTAGGTAGATTAACAAGTTATTAATAAATTTTTAAATAGATATCCTTTAATCATGTATAGTGTTAGTAAGTTTTAAGATAATTATATAAAAAATAATAAAAGTGTCATACATATTAAGTTAAGTTAAAATAATTTTATGAAATATATTGCATATTTATATTTATTTAGTTTTGCATGGTGTAGGCGTCTATCAGGATTTTGTTTCTAATAGAGCAATGGTCCGTGCATTATTGCTAAATTTGCCACTACTACTTTACAGCTAGTTTTATTACTTTGTTATTTAATAATTTAGTTTATATTCAAATAATTTAATTTAATATTTTATCATTAAATAATCATAATAATTAACATGAATAGTCCTCTATATTGTAACGAATAATCATAATAATTATGTCGGAATTCTAAAAGTGACTTCATAATATGTTTGAATATATATTTTTTATTTTTTATTTTTAATAAAGTTGTACTCTATATACTCAATTTCACTTTTTTTCAAATTTTATATTAAAATGTTATCTTTGAATTTCAGATGAACAAGTTTTTTTTTTCAAATTTTAAAAGTTTATACACATTAACACACATAAACTTATTAACAGTAGTGAAGTTGCTTATTAAATATGTAAGCTGACTTCCATGGCCTGAGTAAGACAAAGTGAGATTTTCAACACTCCATACCCACCTTCCCAAAAGATGCAACATATGTAATAAATATCTCTTAATCTAATTAGATCTAATTAAAAATGTAATATAAAAGGATTTTTATGTTGATCACAGGTCGAGTCGATAGTGTCTACTTGCAATATTATCGACAAAATGAAAACTCAACCTTTAATTCATCCGCTACATATATGCCTATCTGTTTAAAAAAAATTCACGAATATTTAAAACTTACGGATATCCACGAATATTAAAAATTGTATATTTTATATAATTTTTAAAACAAAATTTAAATAAAATTACAAAAAAAATATAAAATTTAATTTTAATTAAATTTAATCTAATAAAATATAAATTAATTTTATTTTAAATAAAATTTAACTAAATAAAATATAAATTATAAATTTTTATTTTTTATAAATAAATCGAGTAGTCTAATACTCACATTCAACCCGTTTAAAAAGGTGAATATTAAAATATTGCAATATGAGGGCACATATAGACATATTTTATATCGAAAATGAGAATTTAAGCACCAACATTTTTGAAGTTAAACAATTAAAACAATTCTCTATTTTTTCTTTTCTTTTTTTCCTTTTCTAAACTAACAATATGATAAAACATACCTAAATCCTCCATTACCAACCAGATTTCGGAACCTAAAAAGAAAATGAAAACAATAACAACGACAACCATCTCACAGAAAAAGAAGAAGAAAAAATTAACACTCTGTTATCTAAATGAAAACAAAATACTAAATACTATTTTTTTAAAAGTTAAAACACACATCCTCATAAATATATAATAAATTTTGTATATCGTAGTCTCCTTTGAAAAGAAGTAGTTGTTAGAAAGGTTCTCCTAACAATAGTAACTTCACCTAGCTAAACTAAAAGACAAATATAGTGATTAAATAATAATTGGGTTTAATACATAAAATAGACTTTTTGATTTGTAAAACTAACAGTTTTGTAAATGTTTTCCTAAGCCTTTCATTATTAGCTCACATCATATAAATTTGCACGTGCATCTCATGCGAGTTTTTACGTCATAGTTTTCAACAGTAATGGTACCTATTAATATTAATATGTAATTATACTTATAATATATTTAAGGTACTGTTACTTGAAATTGTTGTTTTTGTCTATTATACTCTATTGTTACTATACTATAATATGATACATCCCCTCTCCCACACATTTGACATCAAAATTAATAAATGAGAACAGAGTTCTATGTTTACACGCATGTGATTGATGGACAATAATTTAACGTGTAAATAATTGAAATAGAAATATCTTAATATATATTTTTTGTTTAGGTAATGAATTCAAAATCCAACTAATATTTTTTATAAATTCTTTTTTGAATCCCTCTCAATCGAAATACCAGATAGCAACAGATAACAAATAATTTAATATATTATACGATCATTTCTAAGATTTTTTCAAATTGTATTTAATATTTTTTTTTCTATCTCGATGCTAAATAGTTTAATTATATAAAAAAATATTATATAAACTTGTATTATAGATTACTCTGTTATATCTTCATTAATTTTGAAATGATTGCACAGTGCGCATATCTCATAATTGTTGTAAATTTAAAAAATAAAATGTGTAAATTGAAATAAGCAGATGAAGTATTGATATAATTTACTGAAAATGCACTTATTTTGGTTAAGTTATTATAATTATGAGTAAAGAAGTGTTCTATTTTACGTCCTTTTGGGTTTAAGAGAAATTAAATAATTTTTATATTTATTTGAAATAATTTTTTTTCTTTTTGTTAAGTATAAAAATTTATTTTTTTACCATCATTTTAATTTGATGATATATATCGAAATGAATATAAGTGTGCCAACTTATTCTAAAAATATAAAAGTTTAGTCTTTTATAATTATTTTACTTTTACATAGAAAAGTAATGGTAAAATCACGTATATTTACATTTATAAAAATAAAATTATTAAAAAAAATTGTTTTAACAGAAAAAATAAAAGATAATTATATTAAATATTAAATGTAAAAGTAAATGTATGTCTGGGCTAATAATGAAATTGGTACTCGTGTAGACAAACCCTTAGGAAAGAGACATCGATTATTAGTATTCAAATTGGTTTTGTCTTCGGCCTTGAAATCTTGTCGCCAACTCCATGTCCTACTCAATATGCTAAGTGAGGTTAAAGGATTAATAAGTGACTTTTTTAACTTTTTTTTTCTTTCTATATTAATAAGGACAAAGACCAGAGACACAATCCAAACAAATAATATAATTAAATAATTTTACAATGACATTCACAATGACATTTTTTTATCTCAATAAGGTGTAATACTTTGTTATCCCAATCATATATATGCATGCCCAGAAGAAAGAGGAGGTCTTTTAAAACCTAGTAGCAGAGAGCAACTGAGAGAAAGAAGGCAAGGCTGGAAGAGGGAAAAGTGGAGGAAGGGCGAGGCTGAGAAGAGGAGGAGCTGTTTCTTTCGGCGCCGCAAAAAGACTCCTTGCAGGTAAAGTTTCATTGCTTTGGCTCTTTACAGCGAACATTCTCATCTCTGCTGTGTTTTGCTCTACTCTGGTTCTTTGATTTGCCTGGTTATATTATATGATGTTAATAACCCCAAATGAGATAAACCTAAAACAATCATAGAGAGTTGCACATGTGACTCCCAGCTCTGTGACTGAGGGTAAACCGAGTGCGCCCTTGATTGAGACACCGGCCGGTGGTCCCCACTTCATCTTCAACGGTGAAGGTGACAGTGCCTACAAGATGACAATGACTCTGCTTAAGTTCTTATGGTCTGAGTCATACTGGATTGGTTAGGAGAATGAATGAAGTGGTGGCACTATGGGGTGTTGAAGATGCGAAGGACCAGATCATGAAGGTCTTGGAGGAGCACGAGGAGCACGAGGAGCACGAGGAGCACGAGGGTAGAGTAGGGCATAGAGGGAGGAAGCCCTCCTGAGTAGTAGTGTGTCAGTGGATAATGCTACCAACATACAACGAAGCCCTTAATGCAGTCCTAAATCAGAAGTCTACAGCTAAGGAACCAAACATTTTGGTTGGCTGGTTGGACCTTTTTGTTTGTGTCTTCATTTCAGTGTACCCTTCTTCCAATTTGCAAAGATTCCATTCAAACAAACATGCATCGGGTTGTTAGCAGCTTCAATGCGTTGCTTTGAACGAGCTCGCAGCACAGTGCAAAGGTAGGACGTGAAATTGCACTCAAATTCAATGACCCTGTGCAATTGTTTGATGGAGAATTGAAGACCCCACTAAAAGTTTCTGTGCAACACTACACGTTTTCTAAATTAAAAAGAAATTGAAACTGATTATCACTTCACAAACCTTTAATTAAACACATTCACGATTTATAATTCAAAAAATCTAAATCAAAAGTCAGCTACTTCTTTCAAATTCAATGTTAGAAATCGTCTTAAGAAAACACGACTTGAAAAAAACTCTAATTTTATGATAGTGCCCGTTTTGATATTTTATGTTGAAAAGTATACTATTTTTCTAAAAAAAACCTCTTTGAACAAATTCAATCTTAAAGCACAATTGCATGGTGGCTCGTGATTTTCTTCCTTTCGCTTGTTTTTAAGGAGTGCTGGTTGTAAAACACGATTTACATCTCTCATGTATTCTTAATTTATCTTACTTCCAATCATTGTAAGACGTCAAACATCCGTATTGATAATATGGATGAGTGGGCTCCACGTTATTTTAATTGCCTTTAAAATGTGTTTGTCCATCTGGTCCCCTTCTACGAGAGTGGGTCCCGCTTTCATGGTCTGGCGTGATGCATTTAGAGTATCCAATCACATGACAGTTTTGCAAATAAAAAAGTGTAGGGCACGGTGCCCAGACTTTATTTATTAATTGGGTAGTCTTGTAATGATGCATAGTGTGCAGGGATTGCATGGCAGAGTCACTCTTGTTCAATGCAAAACCAAATAAGAATAGCATGCGGCAATTTGTGATTCAATTCCGAAAGGGTTGATTGTATGGTCATATTGGACTTAATAGCTAGGCCTCATTTCGATAGCTAGTTATTTCTACATGGACTCCTTCTTTTAAAAATGACAAAATATGAAAAGTATTTTTTTAAATAGATAGCTAATTTATTTTAAAATTTGTAAAATTCTATAAATAACTTTATGCAATCTTTTAATCAGGTATACCGTTAGTAAGTTTTGAGATATTTATTAAAAAATTAATGAAAGTGCCATACATATTAAGTTAAAATAATCTTAGGAAATGTATTGCTTATTTATATTTATTTAGTTTTGCGTGGTATGGTTATCTATCAAGTTTTTTTCTCTGACAGAGTAATGGCCCGTCAACAACTACGTAAATTTGCACTTTACAGCTAGTTTTATTATTTTTTTTTATTTAATAGATCAGTTTACATTTTAATTAAACAATTTAATTTTATATTTTATTGCTATTCAAAGCTATTAAAAGGTTGGAAGTAAAACGGGAGTGGTGAAACATAAAACATGGAAACGGAAGAGGAACTACATCAACCCTTCTTGAGCTCAACCCACGATGACCGATCATCACACGCAACAGATTCCCGTCTGGAAGAAGTGCTATCAGACACCACCGTAGCCTTCTCCAAGCGGCTGCTCTCAGCCACATGGATCGAACTCAAGCTCCTATTTCCCCTTGCAGGACCTGCAATCATCGTTTATGTCATCAACAACCTCATGTCCTTCGTCACTCGAGCCTTCGCCGGCCACCTCGGAAACCTCGAACTCGCTGCGGCCAATCTTGGCAACAGTGGCATTCAGCTCTTCGCCTATGGACTAATGGTAAATTGTATATACGGATCACCATTACCAACTTTATATTCGTTACTCACAAGTACTAGTGATTATTTATTTGTTTTGTGTATGATAATCGGTTTAGCTGGGTATGGGAAGTGCTGTGGAGACTTTATGCGGACAAGCGTACGGAGCGAATAAGCATGAGATGTTGGGGGTATACATGCAGAGAGCAATCATTGTTTTAGTTGTAACTGGGATTCCCTTAACGGTGGCGTATATATTCTGCGAGCCCATTCTTCTCTTGCTGGGTGAACCCCCTGAGCTTGCTTCGGTTGCAAAGGTTTTTGTGTACGGTTTGATCCCGCAGATCTACGCTTACGCGGTGAACTTCCCCATACAGAAGTTTCTGCAGGCGCAGAGTGTGGTGGCGCCGAGCACTTACATCTCCGGGGCTACGTTGCTGCTCCATGTGCTGCTGAGTTGGGTGGTGGTGTACTGGTTGAAGATTGGGCTGATAGGGTCCTCGTTGACACTCAGCTTGTCTTGGTGGATCATAGTAGTGGCCCAGTTTGTGTACATAGTTCTTGCCCCCAGGTTTAAGCGGACGTGGACTGGGCTTAGCATTGAGGCCTTATCTGGGCTTTGGGCTTTTGTGAAGCTCTCGGCCGCCTCTGCTGTTATGCTGTGTTTGGAAACGTGGTATTTTCAGGTGCTCGTGCTGATTACCGGCTTGCTTGACAATCCTCAGCTTTCTCTTGATTCTATCTCTGTTTGGTAAGTAAATCCTGCTTTAATCACTTTCTATATCACCACTAATAGTCATAATAATTATGTCGGACTTCTGAAATCTCACTTCATAATGAAGTTGTATTTTATATAAACAATTTCACTTTTTCATATTAAACCTAAACTTTTTTTAAAGTTTATATATATATATATATATATATATATATAGATATATATCTATTTATATATATATATATATCTATATATATTATATATATGTGTGTGTGTGTGTGTGTGTTTGTGTGGGGATCAAGATTCAATCGATTTTTAATTTAAAATTTTAAATGAAAAATACAATTTAATTTCACCAAGATCAAAACTGAAATTAGAACTCAGAGTGAAGATTGATTCTTAAAAAATTGAATTTGACTTATGTAATCTTAATTATGTTAATTGATCTCATAAATAGTTCTTCATTGTTGAAGAACAAAAATGCAGAACAAAGAAAAAGTAAAAACCAAAATAAGAGAAAAGAGGGAGAAAAGAGAAAAATAGAAAAACTAAAAGTATGCAATTTGGCAAAAGATGTTTATCATTATGTTATGTGGACTCTAAAAATTGACACAAATGTGATTAATCATTATTCAAATTAGGTCTATAAGTCAACTTACACAAATTTAAGGTTTAGTAAAGTTGTAATAAACTAAAAAATATCATCGAGAAAAATGTGAATAAATTTTCAAAGAAAAATGTGAAGTAAGCCAATTTGAGTAAGTAGCTTAAACAAGGGTGGACAAAGTGTACTTAACTACACTGTCCTGTAAAAATTAATAGTTAATTATAAAATAGTTTTTCTAAACTAAACTAAACTAAAAAACAGTTCATACAAATTGAACTAAACTAATTTTTAGTTCACTTATAGATAGTTTAGTAAATTGGTTCAACTTCCTTTCAAGATCAAATTGTTACACCAATATGAGAAATGCTTACAGTATAAAATGCTTTGAAAGGAACAATATTTATTTAGGTAGTTGCAGAGATAAATGAATCAAAGAGGATTAGAAATATATTCATCAATTTGATCTTTAACAATGTCAAGCCCTAAACTTAAAGTCAAATAAGACTGGTCAATAAAAAAATGATATAAAAAATAATGAAGTCAAATTAAAACACCTACACAAAAATAAATCACGCAATAAAAAAAGAAAAACTTAAATCTCAACAACATGTATTCTACAAAAACAATAATTGACAGATGCAAAACTTATTCCACTAAAATGGAAGAAGTAATAATTGACAATCTAAAATTTATTTAACAAATACTATTTATTCAGTTTAAACTCGTGTTTGTATATATAATTCACCACTTTTATTTTATTTTTAAAATCTATCCATTTTATTAAAATTGAATCAAAGTTAAATCCATTTTATAAATAGGGTAAGCAAAATCGGTACATTTTTAGTAGAGAATAGAAGAATGTTGATACAATGTGGAAAGTGAAAAAAAAAATGTATTTGGTAAGAAATAACCCTAACAGAGCATACAATGCTTACTGTACGCAGCATGTCAATAGCAGGGTTGATGCTGAACATAGGAATTGGATTCAATGCAGCTGTAAGGTGAGGATTTTATGGATTGATTTTGCAGCATGCATAGTATATATATGATAACGATGTGATTGTTGTATGTAACAGTGTGAGGGTGAGCAACGAGTTGGGGGCTGGGCATCCAAAATCTGCAGCATTCTCAGTGATTGTGGTGAATATGATATCATTCATTATTAGTGTGATAGAAGCAGTGCTAGTCCTTGCTCTGCGTAGGGTTTTAAGTTACGCTTTCACAGACGGTGAAACAGTAGCCAACGCTGTCTCAGACCTCTGTCCCTATTTGGCCGTTACTCTCATTCTCAACGGAATTCAACCCGTCCTATCCGGTACTCATTACAAATCTTTTAAATTAACTATTAAATATTTTTATAACCAATAGTAGGTCTATTAAGTGAAAATTAAATATTAATTTTTTATATGATAATATTTTGTAAGAAAAATAACTGTAAGAGTCTCTACTTTTTGTAGGAGTGGCTGTGGGGTGCGGATGGCAGGCCACTGTGGCTTATGTGAATGTGGGCTGTTATTATTTGATTGGAGTTCCTTTGGGTTGCATCTTGGGCTTCAACTTCGGCCTTGGCGTGCAGGTAACCATATTTATTGAGCTTTACAAATCAATTACTCTATTTTTACATCAATAAAATGTATTTTCATACAGCATTATTTATTTACTGTCGTATTTTTGTTAGAAATAATTTTAAAAAATACATTAAATATAATGGGTTTAATTATTGAGCGTAATTTTGCATATGATCATCTTGTTATAAATTATTATGAATAACAAAATTTCTGCTTTTCTAATGATTATTTTACACATATATAGTAGAAAATAATTGGTCTTGTAATTATGTTTTAACGTTATTTGTTATTTAATGATTCGTGTAGTAAAATAAATATTAACAGCCTATAAAAATTAAACTTGTAGTTTTCAAAATAATTTTAGAATTGGTGAGTTGATATATACCCAGGTATTTCCAGTAGCAATCCAAAACCTGGATCATGTTGATGAAATCAAAATATATGAAACAGTTGTTTTGATATGTAATAATTAATATACAGGGAATATGGTCGGGAATGATCGGCGGAACAATGTTGCAAACTCTCATTTTATTATGGATCACGCTTCGCACTGATTGGGATAAAGAGGTAATAATACTTTATCAATAACTAATCATCTTATACGTCATCATAATCAAGCATTATGATTCAATATTCAATTTTAACAATTAGGTATCTGTATTACAAATTATTCATTTCTCCATCGTAAACGAAACTAAATACACATTAACTGTTCTTCCACCTTTTTATTAGCCTTCATTTTGACACTTAATTTCACCAAGAGTATGTAGAAAAGAAAAACTATCTTGTTTCGATTGATCATATTCCATGTATATGATAAAATTATGAACATAGGTGAATACGACAAAGGAACGATTGGACAAGTGGGACAACAAGAAACAGGCTAAAGTTGAGAGTTGAAATGTTTCATCTTGTAAAAGTAAAAAAAAAAGTTGGTACTAAAAGTTGTACTCATAACTATTTTTTTTAGCATATTTAATAAGAGAAATTGTACTTACTTTTTGTTGTTATTGAATTCGTGAGCGTACATGTGATTGGATTAACGAGCGTGTGATTGGATTATGGAAATTTTTATATATGTTTTTTAATATTGAAATGTGATGAAATATTTATTTATAAGAGAATTTTTTATGCTCAAAATAATAAGAGAATAAGATTTTTATATATAGAAGGGTGAGTATGTATTTTAGTGTCATTTTTTTATGAATATGTATAAATATTTATAGAATATTGAGTTCCTATGAATAAAAAGTATATCTATTAAAAATAAGTTATTAAAATAAAATTATCAAAATTAATGAAATGCTTATTTTCTGTTTGAAGGTATTATAAAATTCGCGGTACATGTTAATACATACAGATATTTTATAAATTTTTAAAATTAAATTAAAAAAATATAAATCAAAATTAAAATTAAATTAAATTTATCTTGATAAAATATCAAATGAATTTTAGTTAAATTTAATTTCATAAAAAATAAATTTAATTTCAGATAGTATAATACTCTGCATATAAGAAATGTACGGATATATTAATTATCCATTCCATATTTTATTCACAATTTCCTTTTCTTTGTCATTTGAGCTTCGAACTCACTTCATTTCATGATTTAATCCATTTAAAAAATGTAGGCATAGTTGCTTTGTTGTATGATTTCTTTGACTTTTCTAACCCCTAACCTTCTCACGGGCCTTTCAATTCCTTCAAGCATTTTGTTCTTTCTTGTCTCCTCATCTCCTTCCTTATAAAGAATTCTTTAATCTAATAAATCATTGTTTTGACCTTTAATATGTTATCATCTCTTTCATCATCGACAATTCTTTAATTTAGTTGAACAAGTTCTTAAACTTATTACATAAACTTTCATTTGATAAATTAAGGGATTAATTACTGAACTAACACATATTTGGAATTTCTAAGTGTGTCGAAATAATTTAGAATGACTTTTATAAATTGATAATCTTAGGCAACATAAGAGTGAGATAAGTGAAACTCAATTCCAATAACTTACTGTATTCTTATATTTTTTTTTTGTTGAAATTTTATAATTGTTTTAGTTGGGATTTAATTTACAAACTTAATATTTAAATAAATAATATTTTTATTATATTTATTATAAATTTTTTTAAATGATTTTAACTAACACAGTAAACATTATAAATATCTGCTAAATTGCAGTGGATCAAATACCCGTAAGACATTTTTTGAAGAAACATTTCATTTTAAATGTTTTTTTTAACTGTAAAAAATAATCTGTAAGCTTTGAGAGTGTTAAATATGCTTAGAAATCACATTTTGCATTAATCAAAGGAGTCCTTTATTTTTTATGTTGACTTCTTGACTTCAAAAACTTTGTATAAATTCCAAAATGTATGTTGACATATACCTTCATGATTTGAATTTGTTGTAAATGGTTCTTTATATTATTTTTAATATGTTCCAAATTGTCAGTTGAACAGTTACCTTTTACGTTATTAATCTTTTTATATCTCTACTCATATTTTAAACATTTTTTTTCTTTGATCATGTAAAGTTTATTATTTTTGTTTTGTTATTATGGATTTTTATTTCCTTAAAAACCTTTTAACTTGGCACATTCTTAACAAAACTCATTAGTAACACGCATTAAAAAAAACTTATTGTAATAAAAAAGTTTATCAAACACTAAACTCAAGAGATTTTTTCTTTTATAATTTTTATTCGATGGTTGATTGATGTGTCTCCCCATGCATCATATTTTAAAGTTGTTTTATATCAATTCTTGTTACATTTATGAATAATTCGATCGATATTTATTCCATTATAAGTATTTCTTAAAAACTTGAAGCACTGGTAACCAAAATTTGAGAAAAATAAATAATAAAGAGAAGTTGAAGCAATTATTTTTTTCTCATTTCTCAATCATTTGATGTTCGGACGTTCTTTATAGAATAATAATATTTTGACAACATTTTAACACCATTTATATCTGTGTCATTTTATAATTGGTTCATGTTAATCTTTATGATTATTATTATTGATTATGAAATAATTGTAGAATAATATAAAAATCATACCTATTTTTTAAAATACTACATCTTATTTAAAAATTCTAAAATTATATTTAAGAGGTATGTCTCATTCATTTTAAAATCATGATTCTAAAATATTACTTTATCATTTATATAATATATTTTTCATGTTATTTCATTAAAATTGAATCAAAGTTACAGTCATGTGAAGGATGGGATTGTTTTAGTAAACAGTATGAATGTCCCATAAACTATGAAAAGTAAAAGAAAAAGAAAATGTATTTGGTAAGAAATAACCCTAAGAGTGCATGCAGCATGTCAATAGCAGGGTTGATGCTGAACATAGGAATCGGATTTAACGCAGCTGCAAGGTGAGAGCTTTATGTCTGATTTTTCAACATGCAGATACAGATACGATAATAAAGATAATGGAATTCAACCTGTTCTATCTGGTAACTTACTAGTTATATATTTACTTAAGAGTAACATTATCATCACATATTTTTACCTTTGACATATAGTAAAAGAGTAAAATAATCATATTTTTTTAAAAACGAAAAAAGTAAAAAATAAATAAGTATAGTGTTAAATAAATGTAAAACATTTAATTGTATCACAGAATCATTACTCTTTATTTAATGTTTTCAATAAATATTTTATATAAGCGGCTTTTTCTAGGAGTGCCTGTTGGGTGCGGATGGCAAACCACTGTAGCCCATGTGAATGTGGGCTGTTATTATTTGATAGGAGTTCCTTTGGTTGTATTTTGGGCTTCAAGTTCGGCCTAGGTGTGCAGGTAAAGGTATCTATTGGGCCTTGTAAATCATTTACTGTATGCATATAAACAAAATGTTATTTATTTGTTGTCTTATTTTTGTAAAAATATTTTTAAAAAATACATTTTTTATAATGGCTTCAATTAAAATTTTCTGAGTGTAATTTTCTTTGTATTGTTTGAACTACATTAATTGTTAATATAATTGAGCAGGTGTTTGGTATTAATATATTTTTAATGTTAATATTAAAGGATAAAGGATTATCTTTAAGATTAATTCCATATCAACATTACTTTTTTTAATAAATGTGTGTGATAATTAATAAATTTTAAAAATGTTTTTAACTATTTCAATAATCAGTGAAGTTTAAATAAAATTAACAAAATTTAATAGTGTTAATATTATACTTTTTTAGTGCTAAAAGTTAAATATATCGATACTTGTTATATTAAATTGATTATTTACCTTTAAAACTGTATGTAGAAAATCAATAATTTTGTAATTTTATTTGAGTTACTTCTTTTTTAATGATTTATACAGCTGAATAAACAATATTAAATTTTGTATCGTGTAACATATATTTTTAAATTACTGAAAGTTTAACTGATATATACATGGTTATTTTTAGGAGCAAGATCCAATTTGAAATTAATTTTTGAATTTCTGGTGTATGAATTTATGAAACATTTGTTTTGAGTGTAATAATATATAGGGGATATGGTCCGGAATGATCGGGGGAACAATGTTGCAGACTCTCATTTTGTTATGGATCACACTTCGCACTGATTGGGATAAAGAGGTAATATTACTTTATCAATGACTAATCATCTTATACATCCTCCTCATTAACCACTATAACTCCATATTCAATTTTAAAAGCCGATGGGAAAAAATTCCCAAATATAACGAAAATAAAAAACAGTATTGAAACAATAGGAAAATACATAAATTTACTTTGTCGTTTTTTTCTTTATTTTCACATAATTGTCTCAAATTTATTCAGTTGCTTATTAATATATTATGTTTTATGGAAAGACTTGAGAAAGTTTGAGTTACATATTCTAAATGTATTGGAAATTATTCGTTTCTCCGTCCTAAATGAAACTAAATAGACATTAATTGTTCCTCCACCTTTTTATTAACCTTCATTTTGACACTGAATTCACCAAGAGTATTTAAAAGAAAAAACTATCTTGTTTCGTATAATTGACCATATTCAATGTATATGATAAGACTATGAACATAGGTGAATACAACAAAGGAACGATTGGAAAAGTGGGAGCACAAGAAGCAGGCCAAAGTTCAGAGTTGAGATGCTTCTTCTTCTAATAAAATGAAAAGAATAAATAAATTGTAACTTCTATTCAATTCAATGATATTTTTCGTATAACTTCTGTTTATATATTGTCATAATGTATGTACTCTTTGTTTTAGGAAGAAAAACATTTTAAAAAGAAGTAAAAAAATTAATGCACTTAACACTATTATGTGTGACGTTAATTATGAGAAGGAGGTAGCGTAATGAACTTGCGCATATGCTTTTCTTTTGGAGATTAAGGTTGATTTTTCTACTCATTGTTGTCATGAATTTTTATTTATTTTAAAACCTTTTTAACTTGCCACATTTTTAACAAAACTCGATCAGAAATTACAAAAAATTATTAGATTTTGTCATAAAAAAGTTTCTGAAGGGGTTTTTTGTTTTATAATTTGATTCGATGACTCAATAATTTATCTTCTCATGAGTCATGTATTGAAATAATTTTATATGAAATATTAGCTCATAAATCAGTCTAATTATTGATGAACATTGTATTTTTTCTTTTAATCATAATCTACATTTTCATACTATATTCTTTTCTTCTTCATTTAAATAATTTTTCATCTTAAGATAAGTTGGTTTTGATAACATATATTATTAGAAATATCATGTCGATTAGGCCAATTTATAAAATATAAATAAATGTAAACCTCATCTTACAAACTAGTTTTGTGAAGTTGAATTAAATTTAAAGTTTATTTTGTAACATAGACGGATTAGAACCTATAAGAAGGTGTATTGAAAGTCCTAATAAGACCAATTTATAATATACAAGTGAGTACAAACTGATTTCGTAGGAGTTAACTTCAAGT